AGTGTGTCAGAAAACAACTAACTTCAAAAGAGGTTGTCCTGAGATAAAGGTCAATGAAGATAATGTTCAAGTTGCAGTTTCCTTGAATGAGGAAGGTTATAAGGATGTCGTTGCACTAGTAGTATCGAGTTTGGAAACTGAAGATAGTTGGGTCATTTACTCATATTGCTCTTATCACATGTGTCAAAGAATAGAATACTTTTAGACTTCGAAGATGGTGCAAGGTGGAGTAGTCCGCATCGGTGATAATAAGGCTTGCAAGGTTCATGGTATTGGTACGACCAGACTTAAAATGTTTGTTGATCGTGAACTTCTTATTCACAATATGAGGTATGTTCCAGAACTCAAGAAAATTTTGTTATCTATAAGTATGTTTGATGATCTAGGTTATTGCACTAGAGTTGATCATGAAGTGTTAAAGATTTTGCGTGATGAATTATTTATTGTTAAAGCATCTAAAATATATGGTCTATATATTTTAGAATGTTCACATTTTGTTATTCATTCATCAGTAACTAGTGGAGACTGTCATAATAAGGAAGAGCTATGGGATTTGATGTCAAGGCATTATGAATGTCTTAAGATAGTTTCAGAGGAGTATAATAAATGTTACAAAAAATAAGGGATAAAAATGCATGTTACCATTGAGTTGTTAATGAGTTTTTAGGAGAGAGATGATGTTAAAAACATCTTACTTGGTTGGTAGAGAATTTCTTCAGAGGAAGAATAGTGAAAACCAAGGGAGAAACCTTTCAGAAATTATAACGGAGAAAACTCAGTTTGAGATGGAGTTTCCTACTATGGATACTAGTAGTAGTGGGGAAACAAATATAGAGATATTTGATTATCATTTAACTCATTATAAGGTAAGGAGGGTGATTATAGCATGTCAAAAGGACGACTATGTTAGTCTTGGTTGTTATGTTTTAAATGTGACTAAAGGGTTTCTAAATTCTAAAAGAAGGACCTTCGAGGAGGCATTTGAAAACAGGTAGAGTCAAGGTTGGTTAAGGAATCATACCTGTGGGCTGGTTAAATTACATAGGCAGAAAAGGATAATTGTAAACAAGTAGATGTTATTGGCGAGATCAAGATTCAAGGGTGGTTTGGATTTGATAATGGTTATTGATTAGAGTTTCAATATGGTAGAGAGCAACACTGTTGTTGATGGTTAAATTTATATCAACATGGTTTCAAGTCAAAGTGGAGATTGTTGTAATGTGCCTTAAAACCTTTGTTGATGAAGATAAAGAAAGTATATTTTGGAGATTGCATATATCGTGAAAATTGGAAGTTTCGTAAAATTGTTTGAAAAGTTGAAAAAATAGAAAACAGGAAAAATCGGGTCGAAGGAGCCAGAGCAGCGGCGGGGGTCGGAACCGCGACAACACGGTGGCACCAGTGGCCAGTTAGAAGTCAATATCAATGTGAATTTTCTAGATGGTGGCAGTGGAGCTCAGCGGGAGCGGCGCCAACGGTCCTTACAAAGGTGGTCGAAGTTAATGAATAGTATTGTCCATACGACCGACAAAATTGAACAGTAATTTTGTATTGTTGGTTGGCGGATGTCCGTATGTTTGTACGGAGATCGGGAGATTACAAATTTTTTGTACTTTTTTCAATAGTTTCTCATTTTTCATATTTCAGGCTTTTTCAGTTCGGTCCTTAGATCCATGTGTGATTGGATTATCTTTTTGGGCTTTGTTTGTTGGATATTTGCTATTATAAATATGTATCTCTCATATGCTTGCAGGTGTGACAATCTTAGAGTTTATAACAACAAGGAAGAGCAAGGGTTCAAGGTCAGTGAAGGGAAACCTTAGAAAGGCAAATGTTAAGGAACCTTTGGGGTTGTTTAAGGTTATTGTAAAACACTGGTTACACTTTGGGTTTAATTTATTCATATACTTGGATAGAAAATAAGGTGGTTCTTGGGCGCCTTCAGGATCGTTCTTGGGAACTTGATGGCAAAAGCTATTTTCTTGTAACTCATCTATAATCTCTTGTAAAAAATTTCTAATTATAGTGAATTGGAGAGTTGCTCTCTTCCCTAGAGTAGATCATTTGATCGAAGTTGGTAAACAAACATTCGTCTTTTTCTCGTCTTATCATGTTATATTATTTGTGTATTGATTATTATTTACTGTAGGCCATTTATTTTGGTTTCTACTATTTTTCTCCTCACAAATTGATATTGAATCTTATCGTAATTTACAATAAAACATTTTTAACTGTAACAACAAGAAGAAAGAGGAGAAGGATCATCAACTAATGGCAACATTAAAAAATTCCACCAATTTTCCGAAAATGGCTATCCATGATTTTCAAATTCATAAATATAAACTCATGTTATAAGGCATAAATCCTTCACAAAACAAAAATCATAACTTACATGTCAACATCACAATGTTATACATGGCGAGAAACTCATTCTCATATAACTTCTTCCTTACTTTCTTTTTACATAGTTTCAATAAGAGAGAAACTCATTCCCTTCATCTTTAATTGATTTTTTTCCCTTTCTACATCTCTCTCTTATTTTTATTTATTCCTCTATTTTATTCTTCCTTCTCTTTCTTCGTTTGTTTCCCCTTTTTTTTAATATTCATCTTTTTTCTTTTTTCTTCCCTTATCTTCTTCTTTCTTCTATTTCTCAATTATTCTACTTGTTTGATATTTACCACAAACTCATGCGAGAGCATCAGTATGTACCTAATTATTATTAAATAATAAAAAATATATAAGAAATTTTTCGAATTTGATCATTTATAATTTTTTAAGAAAAAACAATTAAAATATGCTATCATAATATTTTCTTATTAATATTGATACTATTATAAATAATATATTTCATGAGAAAGATTTCAATACACCCAACTAAAAAATCCTGTATGATAATAAGGTGCAACATGTTTTATTTGTTTTAAAAATGAGAACAACATATTTCCTCGATTTTTAATATAACTGAGAAAAAAACAATTCAAGACATGCTTTGAATCCCAACTATTGAAGTTTATGTTTTTATTTCTTTATAAATGTAGACTAAATGATTCATCCTTTAGATTTTCGTAATAAATGAGAAATAAAATAATCTGATTTTATTATAAAATCACTCGTTAATAAAATTTTACCTTAGTCTTAACTTAAATGTAGCTGCCCCAAAGTCGTATTCATCATTATTTGAGGTGAATTGCAAGACAAAAAATCTTTAATGTTTTGTGTTCTTCTATCTTAAACAAAATATTTTTTCCGCTCTTCCAATCTATCTCACATAATTGTGTTGATGTTATTGTTGTATTTTTAGAAAAACCTTCCTATGTTGTCAATCAAAGAAACAACATTGTTTTTCTCGGTTAACAACATTGAGAAATTTATTTCTAAACACGGTGTAAACTGTACATAAAAAATGTTGACGGGTAAAAAATTAAAATTGAAACATGACATGTTACTTTCAACTCTTTATCATTACTATTTATTTCTTAAAACTTATTACCTCGAGTTTTTATTAAAATCGAGAGTTTCCTTATTTTATTTTATTTTTTATTTAAAAAAGAAAATACTTTTCCTACGGTTTTTTAACAAAACCGAAAGGTCTTGTTACACATCTATAACAAATCTCTACCCTAAATTCAAAAAGGAACAACGTTCAGGATATTGTCAAGACATCAATCCACAACAATCATTTGTTCAAGATAATGAAATCTTTGTCGCAAGTTAAAGAAAGTTGAAAAAGTTCTCTATGATGGATTAGAAGTGCAGAAAAAACATATTTGCCTCAAGTTGAACAAAGAAATGAGATCAACCTTCAATAACTTATAAGAAATTGGATGCATACAAGATATGCAATAAAATCTGGATTACAACAATGATTTGTTGTTCCCCAAGAATAAAAGCGACGATGATGAATATGAATTTGTTGTAATCAATATGTTTTAATATTTTGAGTAAACAATGTAATGTTTAAAAAAAATCTTATTCACCTCGGTTTTCTACTAAAGCTGAGGGGTAAACATATTTTACCTCATTTTTATCAAAAATGAGGAGATAATTTAGCGTGATTATTGAGGATATTGATAATCGTTCTAAGCAAATCTTTTTCGCACATTTCATGAATATCAATGCTCAAGACACTACCATTAATGATCCGCGTGAAATATAAAAAAACTTACATTATAAAAGCATTATGAATATAAAAAATTGATAATGAAACATCATGAATCAATTGAAACCATCTACATACACAACTTTAAGGTTTATAAGAGCATTTTCCATAAAAAAATTCTCTATGATGGATTGCAAGAGAAAAAAATATTTGAGCTTAAGGTTTGTGTTCTTTAGTATTTATTTGGACGGAAAATCATTTATTTATTTAATCTTTTTTTATTATTTTATATCAAAAACAAATACAAGCAAAAACCATAAAAAATATCTGACACCCAACATTTGATTTACTCCTAAAATTCAATGATTTGAGCATTTTAAATCATATCTTCAGGAAAATTCATTTTTACTTTAATATTATGTATAAACAACGTATATTCTAGTTAAACAAATAGTTTGTAAACAAATTAATTTATTAATATTATTTGTAAATAATGTAACAATTTTTTTTTATAAAATCAATTTATTTTACCTCAGTTTTATTGATAAATCGAGAAGTATGACATACTAGTTTTCAAAATAATAAAAATACAGATGTTGAGATTCAAATTCATGTGTAAATAATTTAATCTTTTGATTTTTTATTAACCGAAAGATAAAGTGACAACTTTTTATGACGCCCATTCGTTACTTAATTTCTATAGCCGATATTAAATATATTTTCTGTCCAAAATAAAATGTATTTTTTTATAATATTGTAAACTTATTATTATTATATCAAAATGAAGACTTAATTAATATAACAACTCATATATTACGACACTATAATATTATTAGATTTTATTAATTTTTTGATGTTATTACATTTTACTTCATCATTAAAATGATTTTTTTCACAATTAACATTTGACTAAACAAGTACAAAGTCGTTTAATATCCGAAAGAACTTTACAAGTACATTGATGAACCATGCCACTTGCTCCATATGCAGCATTGAGTTCGTCCCAACACGTTCGAGAAGTATCAAGACATGTTCCAGGCAAAATCAAACTTTTAGGACAAAAGGAGCCGGGGCCAGCATCAGCATCTGCGTCTACAACATTAAAGAAAACAAAAATATGTCAAAATCATTTACCAATAAATTTAGTTTAGAATATAGCCTATATATTCTCTTCTTGGAATATTTATGAATGATAATTTAAAATTACAATAGCTATAACAATAATAATATTAAGTTATTATAAGTGTACCTCTAATTGGTGTAGGAGATTCGTAAGTGTGGCTCAAGAGAGCAGACAAAACACATACCATTAGGAGAATGCTTCCTAGCTTCATGATGAGATTTGCTTCAATAGACACAAAATTTCCAAATAGAACTCTTAATAAGATGGAACAATATCAAGTAAGATGGAACAATATATATCATAAAAACTAAATAATTCAATCAAGTAATAAATTTAGTCAAGGAGACTTGAATACATTTAATGAAACTTCTTTTAATTAAAAAAAAAAAGAAATTTACATTCAAAGTTATATATTATTTTTTACAAAAATTTAAGTTAGTCATACTTATGAACATTTAAAATTTAATTCATTAAACATATGTATTATTTTAACATATGAAAATAGTTTGTAAATATAATGTTTCAGAAATTGGATAGAATCGGCTGATCAAATCAATTGAATCGAAAACCAGTGGATCATTGGTCTGATTTGATTTTTGTATTAGATAATCTATTGAATTAGTGAGAATTGATCAAAATCGATAAAAATTATAGAATTGATGATTTTAAAAAATTAACAGGTTAAATATTTATTTCTTTCTCCGATAAAATTGATTTCAAAAAATAAAATTAAAATATAAGTAGATTTTGTTTAAAACTTATTTAGAATAACTTTTACACGTTTAATTAAGTTTATTGGAAAATGTACATATGCAATTAGAATTTTAATTTAAAGAATAAAGTTGTGAAATTATATTATTTTAAAATTTTAAAAAATTTTAGATGTCGTGATTTTTTTTAGAGATTGAATTATCTGATTTGATAAATTTAATAATTATATAATTTTATTATAAGACTAATTTATTCAACTGAATTATCTGATTTAATTTAATTTTTCATATAATTCCATCCGTGATTCAGCGATACAACACTCTCATTGATTTGATAACCAATCTGATTTTTAAAACATTATGAAAATATACTTCTAGTATATTGAATGTTATAGCATATTTATCAATATATTTTCTGTCATTAATGCTCATAAATATATAATGCATATACAATACAACTTCTAAGATGTTATTCAAACCTACTTTTTTCATGAATTTTTGTGATTTTATTTAGAGGTGTTAGGAGGTTGAATTGTGTCTAATTTAATTAAATTTAATATTTAGCTCAATTAATAGTATTTAATTTGGAGTGAGTGTTTAACTTATATTTTTAAGACTAAACTCGAATTGAATCAATATGCTGATCAATGAGTTAGATTGAATTGGATTTTCAGATTATCCACTAAATATATTATTTAATCTTTAAATAAAACATCAATTTAATTAACACATTTAATTTACAAAAAAATATTTAAAAGTTATAATTTTTTTGTATTTAATTATAATAAAATATATCATTTAATATCTAAATATATAATTTTTTCAATTAACTGTTTAAGTATTTTATGTAATTTTGCATTTATCAACAAGTATTATCCTCGTGCCACAAATTTTCCGTGTGTATGATAATGCTTTTGCCACATTATTGGTTGTGGTTCCACTAATGCCATAACTCTGACCCAGTTCTGCATAGTCTTTCATAAATTGTCAAATTCTAATTTTCTTTTTTTTTCTTTTAATTTTTTATTGTTATTAGACATTAATAATAATTTTGTTCATTAAAATTGATATAATTTATTTTATAAATTTTAGTAGATTTTCAACATTTGATATCAGAAATTTCAGTTGAGCGATTTAAGGCAAACAAATCGTGATAGTATTGAATCATCTGAATGTATATTTATCAATAATTCTTTCAATTTTAAAAGTTGATAATTATGAGAATTGATACAAACACGTGAAAATTGTTTTCTATTGTCAAAATTTTTAAGATCTTGTAATAGATGAAATATAATTGTTTAAAGAAGACACGCCTTTAATAAATTTGACTAATATTCTTTAATGATGTGTGTTTTTAATATTTTTTAATTATATATAAGATTGACTAAATTTTAAAAATTTATAAAAAAAATCTTTGAATTTAAATACCTATTTTTTTTTTTTTTTAAGTTTAATATATCTTTCATTAAATATATTCAAGTCTTTGACCTAAGTTATGATGTATATTGAATTAATTAGTTTTAGGGTTCAATGTATATATGTGTCCTAGTATATATTTACAAACTATTTTCACTATGAAAAAAACAATTTTTGGCAGCGCATCTACGAAAGCGCTTTTAAGAGAAAGCGCTTTCGTAGCCTTTAAAAAAAAATCGCTTAAAAAAAGCGCTTTTATAGGGTTTCCTACGAAAGCGCTTTTCAAAAAGCGCTTTCATAAGTATTTGAAATATCTAACCTACGAAAGCGCTTTTGAAAAGCGCTCTTATAGGTGGCCCTATAAAAGCGCTTTTGAAAAGCGCTCTGAAAGGAGGACCTACGAAAGCGCTTTCTAAAGCGCTCTTATATGGGGGACATACGAAAGCGCTTTTTACCTCAGAAACGCTCTCATATATGGGTCTTAGAAAGCGCTTTTAAAAGCGCTTTCGTAGATTGTTTTATAATTAAATTAAATATCCCTAAATACGAAATTTGCCCTCACTTGTTCATTTCTTCGTCTTCTTCATTTCTTCTTCCTGTTACCGTTCATTTCTCTCATTCCTGTCGCCGTTCTTTCACTGCTGCTTCGTCTTCCTTCGTCGCCGTAGTTCTTCCCTCTTCTTCAGTCGTCGCCGCCATTCACTGCCTTCTTGTCCATCTTGGTAAGTTTCTTCTTCTTCCATTATCTGTTCCGTTATTTGACCGTTAAGTTATGCATGTTCTGGCCTGTTCCGATTTCTTCTTCCATTATCTGAGTATTTCTAGGGATAGATAATGCTTTTAGTATATGTTTGGATTCTTGTTGGAAAACACCAACGTTATGATACAGGAAGAAACTTACGCACATTTTACTTGTTATGCTACAGTATGTTTAATATTGGTTACTCTGGATTGTTTGTAGTTGATGACACTCCAAAGATGTTATGTGGCCTGTCTTGATTCCATATACCGATTTTTAAACGCACCCGTGTCATTCATTATATATTCTTGCATGTTTACCCAATTTGGCTAACTTTTGAAGATGATACACAATGGTTCTATAACTTCTTAAAGATGATAATTAGAGAAACTGAAAATATGAGTTAAATTTTAAGTACTTTCTTGACTTTGGCCCTACACCCTTCACAGTTCATATTAGTTTTACCTTCAACTTTTTTAGTTTGGTCATCAAATGACACTTGTAGTCTTTGAATGTACTTAAGTTACAAAGTTGTTCCCGTAAGTTTGAATTACATTCATTTTTTAGTTTGGTCATCAAATGTCTCCGGAGATTGTAAGGTAAAAAAACATATGAAAATGGATATAAAAGTCCCTTACATGGCATATTTTCAAATATCTTTTAGTTATAATTGTTATTTCCCTTTTTTGTAATGCTTTGTATTTATAGAATTATGTATATAGAATTATGTATATTTCCCTTTTTTCAAATATCTTTTAATTATGTATTTACAAATCTAACACTATCCTTTTTCTACTTATTTTTTGTTTATATGTTTCTTATTTGTGGATTGATGTATGTTTTATTTCTCCGGGTGCATGCTACATAATTTTGGTGGTAACATTGAAATGGTTTGTGTTTTGGATTATATTTGTGGGTTTATGTTGACTTTGTGAATTCACTATTTCTAATATTTGTGTTGTATTATTGTCATAGCTTTCCCAAACATTGAAAATATATATGTGACATTTATTGTGAACCTTTATGTTAAAATAGTATATATCTTTCGACAATCGATCTGAAATATTGAATAACATTCTATGAATTTGCAGCGTTTCCCGGCCTAGTTCGACGTACGACGCTCATTCTCCGCGTTTCTTAGAGTTCGAAACATCTGAGAGGTAACTTTCTTCCTCAAATTACTGGTATATATTGTGATGAATTTGTCTTAAATTGTCTTTCGTATGTTGCATTTTCTTGATACGGATTCATTCCGTGTATACTTTGCGTTTTGACAGAAACGCAGTATACTACTGTTTTGTGCACTAATTAGTTGATATGGATAAGACATGGATGTATTCCAATCGATTGTCGAAAGACTACGAGAATGGTGTTTCCGAGTTTGTTAAGTTTGCTGTTGCGCACGCCAAAGACCCCAGTCGTATGACATGTCCCTGTTTGTATTGCTGTTATGGGAACCGGGTTGACGCAGTTCAGTTGGCATCGCATTTAATTCGGTATGGAATTGATAGGAGTTATACATGTTGGAATATGCATGGTGAGAAAAGTAACGGGAATGTTGAATCGGGGTATGCAAGGACCTATGTTTCAAATGATGATTGCACAGATATATACGATTATGATCGAGTCGAAGAAATTGCAGAAGCGCTTGAAGAAGATCTTAACGATTGTCCCAAAATGTTCGAGAGGTTGGTAAGCGATGCAGAGAAACCGTTGTATAATGGTTGTACAAAATTCACAAGATTGTCTGCGGTGTTAAAGTTGTACAACTTAAAAGCCGACAATGGATGGTCGGATAAAAGTTTCACAGAGTTATTAGCCCTTATGAAAGATATGCTACCAGAGGATAATGTTCTTCCCAATCGAACGTATGAGGCCAAAAAGATGTTGTACTCCATTGGCATGAGCTATGATAAGATACATGCGTGTCCAAAAGATTGTGTTTTGTTTCGAAACGAGTATGCATCGTTAAATGAGTGTCCTAAATGCGGTGCCCCTCGATATAAGAAAAAGTTGTCTCCGACAAAAGTCTTATGGTATTTTCCTATAATCCCGAGATTTAGACGGATGTATCATAGTGAAACCGATTCAAGACACTTGACTTGGCATTCAGATGAAAGAATTATTGATGGAAAATTTCGACATCCGGCAGATTCTCCACAGTGGATGAAAATTGATAATGATTATCCTGAATTTGGAAAAGAAGCAAGAAACCTTCGCTTGGCATTGTCTACTGATGGAATGAACCCACACGGTATTCAAAGTATCTCGCATAGCACATGGCCTGTGATTCTTATGATTTATAACCTACCTCCATGGCTATGTATGAAGCGTAAGTACATGATG